AGAGAAAAATACTGTAGCAGGCAGATCACTCACTGTTCATGATGCACAAACTATTGGAAGAAAACCCTCAATATTGATTTTGGGGGTTTATATGAATGTGTTTCTAAGGGGAACTTACTGTCTTCAGAAAAGTTTATGTGGTATTTTCTTTTAATCTCGTCTCTGTATAGTTCATATTAAAGCAGTGTTTCAGCAGCAGTGCTGCTTTGTTTACAGTGGTAACCAAGGAAACGCCGTATCTGGTGTTCCATGAGTCAAATTTTCAACAACTTTTCACTTAATATCTTTTTGCACCAAACAGTATCGATAACAGTATCGATAAGTACCGGTATCAATAAGCAGTATCGATATTGGTATCGATAAAATGTAAACGATACCCATCCCTAGTCCACGCCTTTTCAGCCCTAATTCTTCACTGCGTGTCTATTTTAACTCCAAAAGGCGGTTTGCGCTGGTGCAAGCTGTTAGTAAATCTGGCCCTAAATTATTTATTCAATTTATATTAAATAAGCTATCTTTATGGTATATACACAGTTCAAAAGTTTGAGGTGGGTAAAAGTTTTTATTTTTTAAAAGTCTTTTATGTTCACCAAGGTACACAGTAAACAGTAGCTAACATTGTGAAATATTATTTTTGCATTTTAATATTTTAAATGTGGTTCATTCCTGCACATTTTCAGCAGCCATTAAGCCATGCAGTTCAAAGAAAAGCATTTATTTAAAATAGAAATCTTTTGTTAAATAAGTATTTTCTGTCACTTCTGAACAATTTAATGCATACTTGCTAAATAACAGCATTATTCATACTTTTGAACAGTAGTGTATATGAAACTAAAACAGGCCATATTTTTTATCATTCAGCACATCGAACAGCGTGAATTATATCACTGAAAAGAATATTTCGTAAGCATCTACATTTCCTCTTGCACTCATTTCCACTTTACCTATCATGTGACACCCATTACGGGCAGATGGATGCACAAACAACAACTCTCTTATGTAGTTAATTACATAATTACAGATGGCCTTTCCCATCAACCCTTTATAGATAAAGAAACACAATCCAAGTGCAATAGACATTCAGCCCACAAACCACCCACTCACATCCAGACACTGATGACAACCTGACTAAAGTCTGACTATAACTATAGCAGATGTGACCCTGGCTGAACGCTTGCCTAAATTTTAGGGAAATTACTGATACGTTTACGAACCTCAATCTGGTGTAATCCTGTCATCATCCCTGTTCGCTGACAGACTACTAACAAACAGATGTTAGAGGACAGGCTCAAACACTCATAAGTGACAGCAATGATGATATAATATATAATTAGTGAGAGTGAAATAATTGTGTTACTTAACTTTCTTCCAAGTTCAAAACATTTCAGACCGATCAAAACTAGCAACTATATGCATAAACGTCAAAAAGCTGTGATTGCTTACAATGTCATTCATTCAGCATTCCGGACATTGCATTCAAGCTATACATTTCATAATTTCAAATTTGACAAAGGGTCTAAAAATACTACTACAGTACGTAAAGTTGGATAATCAGTGCTTAATCAGAAACAGCAATCCTGTTTCTAACAAAGGCTAAATAAACAGCTAGTTCAGTCTCAATCAGCACAATGACATAAAAACAACACTTCTCATTGCCTTAATTAAGCATGCATAAGACAAACAGACAAAGTGTTAAACTACTGACTCATCAAGCAAACACAAGTAAGACACTGTAACATGGAGACTTAACATATGTAGAGTGTCATTCATTCTCTCTCACTCACAAACTTGCACACACAGACACATAAGCCGTGTAATGCGCATGGTAAATCATGTGATGGGTTATGCCTGAAAACAGTGCTCATCTATTTCTTTCATATTTTCTCAAGCCAATGCAGTCAGAAGACAGTAATAAAGATAACTAAAAGTATGATCAGCAACTTCAATTCAGAAACCAACAAAATGTCCAAATCTGTTTCAACGCCTTTATTAAAACCTCTCCAGCCTAATGTCATTATTAAATGGGTCATATCATTTTTTAATGCAAAGTCCACTTATCCAACGTATTTTTAACTTAAGAGCAGGTGTAGCTATTTTTATTTTGAATGTGCAAGGCTTCCACTGTCAGCCACTTGCCGTTATTTTAGCAGTTATTTTTTGCTGCTTGATATTGCATATTGGTTTGTTACCATATTTTAATTTATTATTGTAATCATACCATTTACTGCACTTTTATTCAACCCTCTACATTGCGAGTAAATCACTCGCATATGCGACTAAATCTTCACTCTGGGCAACTAAATTATGTCTAATATCAGCCAGTGGCAAATAAATTATTAGATTTTACTCGCCAGTGTGTAAGTTGGAGGCTAAGTATAAGTTAATCACAGATGTATTTTTACTTGCTGAACACACTGACTGAGCGCTTCACTCTCTCAGTCTCACTCTCTGTCAAGCGATCTGTGCTATTTTTCAGTTCATCTCAATGCATGCGCAGCGCACCTGTATTTGACGTACCGTAAACTCTAGTGTGAAGGCGCACGACTTTTGCTTTGCTAAAAGCACTGTCTCACACACGCAAACAAAGAGAGAGAGAGTCTTAAAGGGGTCCTATTATGCTTTTTCACTTTTTGAATTTTAGTCAGTGTGTAGTGTGTATGTTTTTCTTTTGCTAAAGTGTGCGTAGAGGGTTGTTATTGTTTTTCTGGTTATCTACCTAATGCAGCTGAATCTGAAGTCTTACGTCCACATTGAAAAATAAGTTGGACAATAGGGCTGGGACGATTAATCGATTCTGAGATTTTCAGAATGCATCGCGATTCCTCGGGAATCGATTCTGAGCTTAGATTTTAACAGCAGATGGCGCACTAATCTAGTTTTTATCCGCACACCCAAATGCTCATGAAGAAGAGTGCTTTGTGCATTCGGCTGAGTCATGTAATTTCACCTCAGCTCAGAATGTGTTTATGAGCGAGATTAATGTAAACACAGCCCACTGTGAACACCATTGTAATTCGCTTCAACCTTTTCGAATTTTATGAATGATTATTTTAGGTTCAAGTGTGTGTAAGGATTTGGAAACAAGCAGAGTATGGCTGTTTCTAAAGCATGCAGTGCCATCTGCTGTTCAAAACTAAGCTCAGAATCGACTCAAGAAAGAATCGCGATGCATTCGGAAAATCTCAGAATCGATGCTGAATCATTTCTCGATTCGTGATGCATCGATTTATTTTCCCAGCCCTATTGGACAATAGTGGATAAACTAATTTTGTGTAGCTGCATTTATAAGAAATGCATGTCTGTATTCTCTGCATCTGCTCATACTCTCAAAATTTGATTGCGAGTCCTGAAAATTTAAGGGAGTCATCCAGTTTCTTAACCAAACCATGTGAACAGGACCATATTTAGCACTCCAAACGACTGACAACCGTAATTCTGCTGCTGTGTGATAGTTGTGGCAGAATCACCACACAGTCTTTACTGAAAGGTATTGGAGAGATTTAAATGATCAGGGACCTTCAAAATGAACTTTAGCTTACAGGGTTAGTTCACCCAAAAATGAAAATTCTGTCATTAATTACTCACCCTCATGTCATTTCAAACTCATAAGACCTTCGTTCATCTTCGGAGCACAAATTAAGATATTTTTGATGGAATCTGAGAGCTGTCTGACCCTGCATAGACAGCAACGCAACGACCTTTGGGAAAGATATGCAGAGAGGAAAGTTCCACAACTTATATATGAGGCGTTTCCTTATTTCCTCTGCGATTGGGTCTAAGTTCTGCATCACCCAATAGATATCACTGATGTGTAAACTGATGCATTTACCTGTGTAACATCACAAAGCTTCAAAATTCAAGATCAAGAAAAAGTTGATTCCTTACATTACAACCCCTTCAATTGTTGTACTGAACATCTTTGATTTGACTTTAATTCAAAATGTTAAATTTAGGGCAAGCGACAGATCAAAAAGTTGAAGAGTCAGGTGCCTTACCTCTCTCGTACAGATCACGTGGGGCTTTTTCGTCAGCTCAACACATTTCCTGAGCTTACAGATCTGATGGCCCATTTTTCGGTTCTGGCAACTCCTGCATTCCCCGCAGTTGATCTTGCGCAGGCAGGGCGTGCAAACATCGCACTGAATTCTCTTTTTCTTGTCTCTGCTCTCTTGAACTTGAAGTAAACGCAGTTGAATATCCTCAATTTGGAGAGGAGGGTTTCCTGACTCCCTGCGCTCCAGAACCGACTCTGAGTCGCTGTCAAACGAGGACTGGGTGCTTTCTGTGCTACTGGAGAGCGACGCCGTCGCCTGAGGCCCACGGCCCATTTCACAAAGAGTGCTGTTGTAAATGGTCATGCTCAACGAGAGGAGAGAAAGCGCTCCTTCTTTCTTCATCGACATTTCAGCATCGTCAATTTCATCTTTGGTGTCCACGTCTGCAGTGCTTTCAAATTCATTTTTTTCCTTCTGGGGAGCATTTGCAATGTTTTCCAGTGCTGGTGATTCATTGGAGGACCGACACACTTGGGAGGCTACAGTCTCACCTGCTTCCATGGAGTTTTCTGGAGTGGTTTGAAAAGAATTGTCGGGAAAGTTTATGTGTGGAACGATGAGTTGAACCTCCTCAATTTGACCTGAAACATACTTATCTGATTGTGAAGGGGAGGGAGTTGTTGGGCCTGAGGTATTATTGTTGTAGGCAAAGTCCACATTATTGACAGGGTCAAGAGGGTCACGCTGCTCAACAAACGCTGAGTTTGGCTGCTCGCTAGGAGCAGAGCAGCTTTCGTTTTGTACAGTTTCTGTGCCTGCTTTCACCGTCTCTTCCTCTGCCTTGTCAGTGTTGTGAACAACAGTCTCTCTGTGATCCTCCGCAATTTGCTCTGAACTTATGTTAACGCTCTGTTCCTCTCCAGTGGGAATTACAGCACCCTTTTGTTGTCCATCACCATTAGGATCATGAACTTCTGACCTTTTAGTATCAGTATTCTGTTCCCTGATCTTCAGACCTCCCTTTTTCTTTGTAACCACTCTCCTGTAGGACTTAACTTCCCTAAGACATGAGACACTATTGTGAGGTGACTTCCCTTTCCCATTACGTTTTGACAACAAGCCATTTTGGTTCACAGAACCACGCGTGTGCCTGGATCCTTTAACAATGAGGACATTCTTGACTGTCCTCTTGCTGGGCTTGCTGACAGCAGTCCTCTGGGCCGCCTTGGCTGCCTGTTTCTTGTCTATGGCCTTCTTGATCTCGCCATTGGCTTTGAGAAAGTTGACCTTTTGCCTCCTAGTCGTGGAAGCTTTCACCCTCCTAACATTTTGCTTTTTGGATGCACAAGATGACTTCTTGGGTGCTTTGGGAGTATGAGGCATAGCTGAAGCAAGTGAGGGTGAGGGAGGAGGAGTTCAGGATAGCCGGCATGGGAAACAGTATAAAAATGACTCTGGGCAACAGTACTTTTCAGATCTTTCATGTAATGTTCCCTGTTTCGAGTAAGATCACATTGACATTTTTTTCCCACTGATGACATATGGATGTATGGCTACCTGTGGAAAGGACAATTCATTATTGAATTATGTAGCATCTGATTATGTTTATTAAAGGCCCCTTAAATTAAAATTGGGGTTAAAAATTTAAAATTTAGGTACAATGTATTGAGCGCACAAACACATTAGGGATATTACTGCTAATAAGACAAATCCTCATGCTTACCAAAAAGTACCATGGTATTGCATGGTTTTCACACTGTAGTGTTACCATAGCTTTTAGACACAGGCATGTTTCTTTAGACAAGTACCATGATAGTACCTTAAATATCATGGTTTATGACTATGGTAATCATTACGTACCACGCATCTTTTTATTAGGGATACTCAAACTTCTTATATTCACATGTTTATTGGTTTCAGCTGTTTGTTTACATGTGTATATGTGACTCATCAAGTGAAACAAGTGTTTTGGCACTTAAGTTGTCATGAGTAAAATGTAAATACAAATTAGGCAAGTGTGAGGTACGTTTGTTCTGACAAGTGGATCTAAAGACACTCACAAAAGTTTAAACGCTGGCTCCGTCTCAAACCTAGTGAGCTCCCTACATACACAGCATTTTTGTGCGTCATAGGCTCGTGCAAAATTGCGAATCACGCGCCTACGATGCCCAAAAATGTTGTCTAAGTAGTGAACTAACTAGGTTTTGTGACAGCCGTTGTGGCTGACTAATCGCTTAACGTTCTCACACGCCTATCTCTAACAACAGTTCGTTTCAGTTTCTATAAGCCGCTCTACTAACTTTCAAACGTGATACGAAGCAAATGATCAAACAAGGGGACTTTATCCGTGGGTTGCTGTATTATGAACACTTTGAAGGGAGTTGAAATACTTTACATACCGGAGAGACACTGTCTGAGGGCTAATAATATTCCCCGCCTGTACGACACGACCGATCCTTCAGCATTTCTCCTCGATGGATCTTCCCTAGGCACGCGTGAATAACGTCTTCACAACGTATCTTTGAACTGTAACACTGACATGCTGCCACAGAGACCAAAGCACCTGATAAAAGGCAAATCCTTCTTATGTCAATCCATTCACGGCAGCTCTGCCTGCCTCGACCTACACTCTCCAGTCAACTTCAGGATGTTTAATGGACGTCGGCGTGAGGCGGCGGGAAAACCCGGACTGGATTGCTGTTCTCAGGATAGTCAATCTGTGCAGAAATCAGTATCTATCCATTTTTAGCCTGCTAACTCACTGCGCTTTGAGCAAACTGCTAACACAAATAAATGCGTGAACCACGACTTGAGATGACGTCAGTTTCACTATGACTATCGTCACTTCTGAATTTACCAATCCAACAGAACCTTTGTCAGAATGAGCTTGTCTGAGAATCTGTGCTTATCAGGCATACAAATATGACAATTATATCTGTATTATATATACCTCTCATGATTTAATCATTATTATTATTATTATTATTATGCAATTTAATATACAGACAATAATTCCTCAAAAACGTCAGATGAATAGAAAAACATAACAATTAAAATTATCATCATTGTTATTACTATTATTATTATTTCTTATATTTACAATTATATATAAATTATATCTGTATTATTATTATTATTATTATACAGCATATTATGAAAAGGCATAATAGTTGCCTGGTGCATTAATATTTACATTTACATTTAGTCATTTAGCAGACGCTTTTATCCAAAGCGACTTACAAATGAGGACAATAAAAGCAGTCAAAACTAACTGTCTTGTCGGTGTCTCACCATAATATTAATGTACAACAACAACAACAATTATTATTATTATTATTATTGTTGTTGTTGTTGTTTTTATTATTATTATTCTATTACGCAGTTTTCATATATAGCAAATCATTTTCCAAAAAAATCAAATGAATAGAAAACAAACAACAACAATTAATACAATCAGCAAGGTTATTATTATTATTATCGTGAGGCAACTATTGTGCCTTATAATAATAATAATACATTATTACAATACATTATTATTATACTATTATGCAGTTTTCATATATAGAGACAATAATTCCTAAAAAAAATCAGATGAATGCAATCAACAACAATCAAAATCATCATCATGATTAACGTAAATTAGTTTTAATTTCACATCACAGTGATAATAAAAAAAACTTGCAATGCACAGTATTGCCAAAAATCACATGTAATATTTGATCTTACTATGTCTGATAAATGAATGCAATGTAGATGAATGTTAAAAACATCACACAAAATGAAATGCTGCGGTGCGGCTCGTTGACACGCAATTACGTGGTAATTCTGCGACAGGAAACGAATCAGTGAAGGACACGATATGGACGGAACTGCTGAAAAACACGTGAAAAAGTGTATTCCTGATCTTTGATTTGTGTTTTGTAAGTACATTGTTTAAATACAAAGAACTAAATACGTATGGATCTCATGTAGCGCGAACAGTTCTGTCGTCGCTGACGTACAGTATTCACGCAGTTCAGACGCAGTGTTTATAACAGGAAGAGCTGACAGCTTCAGGATCACACAGGTCCATATCCAGTTGTGCAACCAATGGCCTTGATTTTAACCAGGACTTATTTGATCCGTTTCCAAGAATTCAGGCCAGAGCTGCTGAAAACTCTGTTTGTGAATGATGCAAATAGTTCAGTGTAAATTGCATGTGGAATGAAATCTGTCTGGTGTAATATGGATGGTTGACACGGAATAAACAGCAGTAACCAAGGTAACAATATCGCTGTTGTGTAGCCTATTGAAATATCCTTATCTTTGTGCACGTTACGAAATGTTAACACATTTAGCCAAAGTTGCGAGAGAAAAAAACAGACCAGAAAATTACGCACTAAAAAGAAAGTAGCACAAGTGCCATGTTTTCTGGACATTTACCATGGTAGTTTTTGACTACTTCTATGGATGGCACCTGTATATGATTTGGTTTGTCTTTCTAGTTTAGTGAACTGAATCTGTTAACATTTCCCCAAACCAAGGACTCGTTAAGTAATACATTTACAACGCTGCCCAACTGTTTATGACTGATATGACTTCATGTGTGCAGAGTCCAGCCCATGTCACCGATCATTTGAGGCATAATAATATCAATGCACATGTTTGTTTACTCCATTCCAGAGTGTGCTGAAGACATGAATGTGCTGCAGTCCTGATAGCAGCCATCATGACGACAGAGGCTGTATCCACAGGGACTCGGGCTCAGATCCCAGCTCCTGTCCAGAAAGACTACTACTACTGGCTACGCTCTTTCGCAGCTGGAGGTGAAGTTTTAAATCACAAAAAAATTGATATACTAAAGTATTTATATACAGCCATTTTTGGATACCTTATAGTATGCAAGTATGCATAAATTGATAGTATAGGTTGTAAAAGTATTTTTTTTCTTTATTATTATTTTTTAATTAACTGTTTGTATTGATTTTTCAAGTTTTTGACATAAAATGATTTATTGAAGCACATCCAAGATGTAGATTAATTGGTTTCTTCATCAGAACGGATTTGGAGAGCTGTAGCATTACATCACTTGCTCACAAATGGATCCTCTTCAGTGAATGGGTGCCGTCAGAATGAGAGTCCAGACAGCTGATAAAAACATCACGATGATCCACAAGTAATCCACACGACTCCAGTCCATCAATTAACAACTTGTAAAGTGAAAATTTGCATGTTTGCAAGAAACAAATCTGTTTAAACGATTTTTAACTGCAAACCATTGCTTCTGGTGATAATCCATAATAATGCTTCCTATAGTGAACAAGTCCATCCCCTGTTGTCCTCTTGAATCAAAATCCACCAACATATTTGTTTAGAACTTGATCTATGCATATTTCTCTCCTGGGGCCCGTTCTTCGTACGTTGCTTATTACATCCGAGATGAAATGTCACATCCAAGATTATATCATCGCGTTAACCAGGATCTGGCTAATTGGGTTCTTCGAACGCAGCTGTTGTTGATGATTAGTATGGCTGGATTGAGTTATCTGAGATAATTGCGCGTTCATGGGTTGGTTTAAAAGGGGACAAACCTGTGTGTGTGTGTGTGTGTGTGTGTGTGGAACCAATTCCGTAATTGTAAACACAAAATGTGATTATTTGAAGATATTTTCTGAAGCAGACAGTAACTGTCAAGCTCCAAAAAGAACAAAAAAAAACACCATAAAAAGGGCTGATACTGTGTGAGGAGTGAACACATATCTATCATTATTTAAAGAAAAGAACTTGTGTATATTCATGCTTGGTGTATTCTTGGGGCCCGTTCTTCGTACGTCGTTTATTATATCCGAGATGAAATGTCACATTCAAGATGATATCATCGCGCTAATCAGGATCTGGCTAATTCGGTTCTTCGAACGCACCTGTTGTTGATGATTAGTATGGCTGGATTGAGTTATCTGAGATAATTGCGCGTTCATGAGTTGGTTTAAAAGGGGCTATGCATCGATGCTCGAAACCACGATCAGCAATGCAGCGATTGGCTGGCGGCAAGACAGCAACGTAATGACATCATATCATTAAAAAAGACACCTGACGAAGAACTTGACAAATTTTTTGACTTTTATAAGGAAACAGCCAAGCGAACAAAACTACATAAATGTCATAATAGATCAATGAAATGTGTATTTTAGAATTTTTTTTTACATGATTCCCAATTATTTATATTCACGATTTTTTATATTTGTACAGGCTTTACATTTTTATTTCAATGAAGTAATTAGCAATTCATTTAATTTTATATTTGAACAGATTTGTTACGTGACAGCATTAATTAAAGTTTCTTAAGGGTCAAGATCATGGCTTCGAAGAACCAAACAATCCAAGATCATGCCAGATCATCAACAATCAAATCCAGCTAACTGAGTTAGCGACCTATGAAGAACGGGCCCCAGATTTAGACAAGGTGACTTTTTCATTGGAGAAAGCTATATTAAGAATAGAGGACTCTTATTTTAGCCGAAAGGAATTCTTTGAAGTTAAAAACATCTTAATGATGGATTTGTTTATTTACAAACATCTTTTTGCTTCACAAGATGTTAATGGACTGGAGTCGTGTGGATTACTGGTGAATTATTGCGGTGTTTCAACTTTTTATTAGCAGTTTGGATTCTCATTTTGACGGCACCCATTCACTGCAGAGGATCCACTGGTGAGCAAATGATAATACTGAATTTCTCCAAATATGTTCGTCTTGGATGGACCGAGGGTGAGTAAATGTTCAGCAAATCTTCATTTTTTGTTTTTTAATGGTCTCAAGACATGCAGAGAGAGACACAAAATATGTAATGTTTTCTATTAAGTGTTTTATTATGATTGTTTTTATTTTAAAATGAATTATTTACTGATCAAATATTAATCTGTTTTTATTTTATTTTTATATTTAGGTGTTGCTGGATGCTGTGCCAAGTCCACCATAGCGCCTCTTGATAGAGTGAAAATTTTACTACAAGCTCAAAATCCTCATTACAAACACCTTGGTAAGTTAAATCCAAAATGTTTCGGATAAACATATTTTTGTGCAACTTGATTTGAAAAAGAACTATGCACCAAACGGTTGAACATGATGCTATCTTGTGTGTTTTTTCAGGAGTGTTTGCCACACTTAAGGCAGTGCCAAAAAAAGAGGGTTTCCTTGGACTATACAAGGGAAATGGAGCCATGATGATCAGGATTTTCCCATATGGAGCCATTCAGTTTATGGCTTTTGATAACTACAAAAAGGTTACTTTTGTTTCGTAGTCATTATGTACTAATGCCAGTCTTGGGGAATAACAAACGAAACATAGTGACATTCCTAACATAATTATGTTTTTAGTAGCGTGACAGTTGTTCAGAATATCATAGCTTTTCCAGTATTACTTCTGCGGCCGTAAAAATAGGCAATAATCAAACACAATCTCCTAAACTGTCCTCTCAAGTAAAGCACTAATCTGATTCATTTTAAAGATTTGGTTCATTCATGATTTATGTGAGTGATCCAGTTAAAAAAAAGAATCAACAAATTTATTTGAGAAGTTGAGGTAGTTTATTTTCCACTTTTTTAGTAGTTGTATTCATTGTAAATGTATCTCTTCATTAAAAAACAAAAAAAAACTACTCATTACAAATGAGTAATGAGTAAAATCAGTTACTTTATCTGATGGTTATATATTTGAAATTGCTACTGTATATATGGTCACCTTAAACCGCTTCAGCTTCCTCAGTTTACTACTTTTTGTCAGTAGCTTAACTTTTTTTTATTTCAGTACCTTGTAGCAATTTTAGTGTAGCTTCCCTAAGTTTAATGTTAACAATACAAAGTTTTGTACTAATGCCAATTGTACACTGTGTTTAGATTTGTTTATGCTTGTAGTAATCTGTTTCTGATGTACTTTCAGTTCCTTAACACACATCTTGGAATATCTGGGCATATTCATCGGCTCATGGCAGGATCTATGGCAGGTTTGTGATTGTTTTCCATGACTCTTCCAAGATCTTTGTAACTTCATGATAAGCATTATGTCTTTATCGGCATTGTACTCTTTCTGTAGGGATGACTGCAGTTATTTGCACCTATCCGCTCGATGTTATCCGAGCTCGCTTGGCGTTTCAAGTGACTGGAGAGCATCGCTACACTGGCATACGAAATGCCTTTCAGACTATTTACCTTAAGGTATGAAGACAGGAAAGAAGTTTAGTTGAGAACCTTTCTGCGCTTCCGTTTTGCATGACAGTGTGTTATCTTTAAAGGAAGGAGGAATCTCTGGATTCTACTGTGGTCTGACCCCTACAATCATTGGCATGGCTCCATATGCAGGTTATTTTCTTGTTTGTTTTATGTAAATTATACAATACAATGTGCAAAACTGAAAAACACTTTAGCTTACGTCCTCATGTCACTCTTTTTGCTCTGTTTCAGGCTTTTCTTTTTTTACATTCGGTACATTGAAGACTCTGGGACTCACTCACTTCCCAGAGCTCCTAGGCAAGCTGTCTCTTGACAACCCTGATGTTCTTGTGCTGAAGACTCACGTCAATCTGATGTGTGGTGGAGTTGCTGGAGCAATTGCTCAAACTATATCGTATGTTCATTTTTTTTTTTAATTCTTTGTTTATTAGGTATTGTTTGTAATACAACCTGTACGTTACTGTACGTTTGTGTTACTGTACGTACATACTACATTCTTTCTAATATTTCTGCACAGATATCCACTAGATGTTGCCCGGAGGAGAATGCAGTTAGGTGCGTCACTCCCTGATTTTGACAAATGTTGGTGAGTATTATATAATTTGGATGATTTTAAGTCTTTGTTTCCTCAATGATTTACACTGGTAAAAATGTTTAAGTAAATTATAAAAAAGGTACTGCTTTGTTAATAGGGATGTATAAGTATTAAAATCTGACTGATAATTATTTTTATATTATGGCAGATAACCTCTATAAATAAATATATATACTGTATACACACACACACACACACACACAAACTACATGTCAAAAGTTTGGAATAATTAATATTATTTTGTTCTTTATTCTCATCAAGGCTGCATTTATTTGATTAAAAATACAGTAAAAACAATAATATTGAGAGATTTTTTTACCATTTAAAATAACTGTTTTGTATTTTAAAACATAATTTATTCCTGTGAGGCAAAGCTGAATTTTCAGTAGTAGTTACTTCAGTCTTGAGTGTCACATGATCCTTCAGAAATCTGCTGATTTGCTGCTCAGGAAACATTTATAAACATTTTCATGTTGAAATCAGTTGTGATACACTACCATTTAGAAGTTTAAGATACGTTTTTATCCTGCAAGGATTCATTCAATTGATAACAGTAAAATCATATAATCTTACAAAATATTTTTTTGAATAAATACTCTTTAAAAAAAATCAGTTTCTACAAAAAATATTACACATCAAAAACAATTTTTTTAACATTGGTACTAATATATATATATATATATATATATATATATTTCAAAAAAACACTTGTCCCTTTTAGACTTGCACTCTTATTCATTTGCTGCATGTTAAACTCAAAATTCCCATCAAGTTTTGTCTGTGATCACTAATGTTTTCTACTTGATTTTTTTAGCAGCAGCCTCACAAAAACTCTCAAGCACGTGTACACCCAGTATGGTGTCAAGAAAGGACTGTATCGTGGCCTGTCCCTCAACTACATCCGCTGTATACCGTCACAAGCTGTTGCCTTCACTACTTACGAGTTCATGAAGCAAATTTTTCACCTAAACTAGAACAATCAGTGACTAAGCCTTAAAGGAACATGTTGAAACGACCCGCGGCGACATCACAGCAGTCCTGTCTGCCATTCCAGAGACCAGTCATCTGAAATCCAGTTCTTACTAAACACCCACACAAACGGCAAACCTGTGGCTTTGCACAGCCCAGCAACAATCACTATGGATACAGAGACAAAAGCTTGCTTTTCCGTTCTGTGTGGATCAGAAACAATGACACTGGAAATCCCATGGAAACCTGCGTCTGAAACTTGCTTGTAAGAAGCCGTCCCATTTCAGATCGAACAATATGCCTTAATCTTTCACTCATATAAGCAAAACACAAAAATCACAGTCGATTTTACCTATGTGGACAGTTTCTCTAGGTATATCACAGTGCTTTTAACTATGACTGATGACGTGATTTTTAAGTCAAATATGGAAGTAGATTTTTCTTTGCTAAATTTCATTCATATGTAGCTTTATATTTCAGCAAATCTGAGTCACCTCAAGTCTTATTGACTGATATTTGTCTCTTTTTGTGATAAAGATGACTTTCCTCTGCAATTCAATAATACAGTGAATGAAAGAGAGTGTACATAATGTCTATGCAGTATTCAGTCATGTTCGCATGCCGATGTTACTGTGGCTCAAGTTTAATATCTGATTGATGCCTTACAGTGCAGGTTAATTCACAATCTCCCTTTTGGAAGAAAGCAATCAAATGAGAATATGTGTGGTGATGAATATCCCAGCTGATATGTATATGAATCTTAAGTTATTGTTCACTGATTTGTGATAGGAACTACATGGGTCCCTTAAATAGACTTTCACCAGGCAAAATTAAAATTAATTGTTTTTTTAATATATATAAAATTGATTTATTGCCTTGTTTTGTTTTGTATTGTATGGAAATGTGCTCCCTCAAACGGTTGCCTCATTTGCCTTCCGGTTGTAATTACTTGCTTTTTTTGTTGTTGCCATGTGGTGGCAGTGTTGCAGTGAATCGAGTCCTTAAACCTCTTTAAATCGGACTTTTCATGTACATGTTGATCGTTTAGCTGCATGTGTTTCCAAAGATGAAGGGGAACATTTATGTGCGTACATTCAACAGCGACTGATACAGTTTTATTACTGAGTGAATACGTGAGTTGTGAAGGTCATGATTCATTGATCACATTTCAAGTTTATTTGCATTAAATGCCATCAAGCTAAATAACTAGAATGGGGAGGATTGTCTTTGCTGATTCTTGAGAACTGTGGAGAAAGTTCGTCTTGCTGCTTTGGATAAATCGCCTTTATTATTTATTTGTGTTATATTGGTATAATGAATGGATATTATGTCAGATTGAAATGGTTAATAGGCATTGAACAAATTAACTAAATGCCATCAAGCTAAATCACTAGAATGGGAGGATTGTCTTTGCTGATTCTTGAGAACTGTGGAGAAAGTTCGTCTTGCTGCTTTGGATAAATCGCCTTTATTATTTATTTGTGTTATATTGGTATAATGAATGGATATTATGTCAGATTGAAATGGTTAATAGGCATTGAACAAATTAACAATGAGGATACTTGTTTTGTACATGTGATTATTCATTTGTATGTATGCTTAGATGAGCATTAAAGAAATTTAAATGTTAGACCAATATCTTTGGAAATAAAGGCTTTTTTGTCTTGTGCTAGAGTTTCTCTTGATTCTCTTTCATATAATTAAAATATGATTGATGAATTGCCAGTAAGTATTTGCATGATCCCATTTTACACTATTTGTCATCCAGTGGGATTTTCCTATAGTTCCCTCATTTTTGTTTGGAACTGCATTTACTATGAAACACCTTCCCACCTAGCAATTCATTTGCATTTATTTCCTCCTAAGTTTGTAAGGTACTGTTGTTTGATAACGCCTTATTTGACTGGAAAATATGTTGCAAACAAAACACTGGTTATAGTGTATGTCTGTCTTATCATGTTACCATGCAAGTCATAAAAAAGCAGAGCTCACTGGCCAGTGTGGATTTTTGGCCTTCTGTACTTTGAATAAAATAGTTATTCTAGGGCCATTAAAGGAGTTTATACTGCTTTATATATGGTTTATATACTCATATACAAAGGTTTAGGGGCAGTATGGGTTTTATTATTTTTAATTACATTATTTTTTTTTTGTTAATTATACTTTATCTATGATACTGACAGAATTTATCATGGTTTTCACAAAAGCAGTGCAACTGTTTTCAACAATGATAATAAATGTTTGTTGAGCAGCAAAACAGCATACTGGAATCATGAGAATCATGTGACGCTGAAGACTGGAGTGGTGGCTGCTGAATTCAGCTTTGCATCACAGTAATAAATTACATTTTAAAATATATTAAAATAGAAAACAGTTGTTTTTTATTGTAATTATATTTATATTGTAAATTGTAATAATACTGCATTTTTGATCAAATGAATGCAGCCTCAGTGAGAATAAAAGATTAAAAAATGTAAAACCACACACACACATATATATATGAGTGCTGTCAAATGATTAATCGTGATTAATCGCATCCAAAATAAAAGGTTTTGTTTACATAATATATGTGTGTGTACTGCGTATATTTATTATGTATATATAAATACACATACATGCATGTATATATTTAAGAAAAATATGTTACGTTTATATATTAAATATATTTATATATTATATAATTTATATGAATATAAATATATACATGTAAATACATGTAAATATTTTCAAAGTATATGCTGTATGTGTTTGTCTTTATATATACATAATAAATAGCCTATACACAGTACACACACATATATTATGTAAACCAAAACTTTAAAAACGTTAAAAATTTATTTTGGATGCGATTAACCGTTTGACAGCACTAATATATATACATATACATTTTTTTAATCTTATATTTTCACTGAGGTTGCATTTATTTGATTCATGTATTCACTCAATAATAAATCTCTCTCTCTCTCTCTCTCTCTCTCTTTCTCTCTCTCTCTCTCTCTATATATATTAAAATATATATATGGTGGCCAAAATTATTAGAACACTAGTATTTTCACCAGCTAAAAATGGTTTTAAGTCAGTTATTTCTGTCTTTTGCTGTAGTGTGTCAGTAGGAAGTATCAGTTTACATTTCCAAACATTAATTTTGCCATTGATTGTAATAATCCAGTGAGATTTTTGTCTGACAGCAGCCAGTGCTCCACACAGAGATCTGATCTCATCATCATCCAGTCTGTCTGGAATGACATGAAGAAACAGAACAAACTGAGACGGACTAAATCCAGTGTGGCAGTGTCTCCAAGATGCTTCAGGATGTGTATATATATATATATATATATTTATTTATTTATGTTTTTGCAAATTGCATGATTGCAAATTGCAATGGTTGTATGTATTCATCAGCAGAATGTGAGCTGGTACACCACAAGGTACATACCCCAAAACCTTGCAAACTATCAAGACCAACTAATATTCAAAAATAAGCATGAAGCAACCGCTCACTCTAAGTAAAACACTTGGCAAGCCTTGAAGATAAACGAGAACTAAAATATCTGATAAGCAAGCCAGACAGAGCATCTTAAAAATTGGTTCCTGTATTGTGAAGTGTAGAGTGACGTACTGTCACATAATAAACGGTCACTATTGACATAAATTAAATTCATAAATAAACTGCATAATGCCATTCACACACTTCTTGAAACAAGAAACTAGGTCAAAGCCTACCGCAATGCCAATCAAGAGAACATCTATAAATTTCCGTGTAGTATGTGTGAAGTTTGTGGCTTGAGCGAGTCAGTTAGAGAGAGAATGGGAGAGGGGGAGAGAGAAGAGGAAATGCAGTCTGCGTGCGACTCTTGAAAAGTCCATTTGAGTTCAGTTGCAGAGCTGATCTCCAGCTTGACGAAAATGCCCAACTACACAGTGACTGTCGCCACAGGCACTCAGTGGTTTGCTGGAACAGACGACTACATTTATATGACCCTGGTGGGATCTGAGAGATGCAGTGAGAGAACCCTTCTGGACAAACCCCTCTATAATGACTTTGAGAGAGGAGCGGTAAGATACTAACAGTCTTTGCCTATGAACGCAATTATATTAGACCTATGAGCTCCTTTTGACGAGTTTGATTCATTGCGAATTATATTGTGCAAATAATAATTGAATTATATTGCATTAGTGAATTGCCTTATTCTTTGTGAATTCAAATTGTAAACTTTTTTTTTTATGCTTTGGCATTCTTTCTTTTATGGCTGTTGATTAATTTGAGTCAAAACACAGGCTAAACGACTTATGAGTTATATGTCTTGACTCTTGATGACACATGCAGTACACTTTTACACTGTAAAAAATGAGTTTTCAAAGTTGTCAGAAAAAAAGATACTCTTTTACAAGAAAATACCATTTCAGTGTTTCTAATTCAGCGTGTCACTTGCCGATTCTATTATTTGTATGACATGTGTGGCGCACTTATATATTACAATCTCTTTAATTATTTAAATCAAACCACAGTCCTTGTTCAGTATCTTTGAAGTAGTCATGCAGTGTATCTCTAAGGAAGTCAAATCACTAAGTGTAAGATAAAAAAAATAAAAGATAAAAATCAATGATCATTTACAGGAAGACAACTATGTGTGTATTTTTTGAGTCAATGAATTCTAATCTAACATAAGGTGTAATTCAAGGTGGACTCATATGACATCAGTGTGGGAGAGGACCTGGGTGAAATTGAGCTGGTGAAAATTGAAAAGAAGAAATACTGGATGCACGATGACTGGTACTGCAAATATATCACGGTGAAGACACCCTATGGAGATTATATTGAGTTCCCCTGCTTTCGCTGGTTAGTTGATGACAAAGAGGTGATCCTCAGAGATGGAAGGGGTATGTTCTGATTGGCTTGTACATTTCTTACTGTAATAAAAACCTAAACTTTACCTTAAAATAAGGTTTCAATGCTTGCTGTGTTTCAGCTCGATTGGCACAGCATGACAAGACCGGAGTGGCAAAACAGCACAGGCGCAAAGAACTAGAACAGAGACAGAAGACATACAGGTTTGATGCAACTTTCAGAAAGAGGTTAAACACTGTAGCAAATTTGTATGCTTTCCTCATAAATGCACTTGTGGTCAAGTCTGATTTTATCATAACAGACCATTAATTTTTTCCATTCTCACAGACAGCTATACTTTGATGATTCATATATACTGTTTACTCTTTACCCTGGTTTAGGAAATAATTTTGTGCGTTTGGTTTCATATTGTACCTTTGTAAATCCCGGGTTGCCAGTGTTACGCTGTCATTGTTTGGATGAATGATCAGAACGCAACTTATTTAACGTCTTGTGTAATTTAGCTTTGCCAGGTGCGTTTATAATTCTGACTGTACCATCCAGTTTTCCTGAATACACTGTTCTGACAATAACTGTTAGAGTAAATCGCTCTTATCGCAACAATTAACAGTTTTTCCGTCATTATTTGACGTTTTGATTCTCCCTGAAGCTCTGAAACAAAATACAGCGCGTCAAAGTTTCTGTTTCTGCAAAGCTCATGAATATTTAATGAGGCAAGCGCCGTACAGTTTATGATTGGTTGTTGCTAAACCAGTTCCACGATTTTATAGACCGTAAACCCGGCGTAAAAACGAAAATGACAAGTGGGGTTACACAGAGTTCACCCACAAATGAAACTTCTGTCATCATTTACTCACCCTCATGTCTTTCCAAACCTGTATGACTTTTGTTCTTCTGCAGAACACAAAAAAAGTAAATATATTACATAATTATTTAGATAAGCCTATTTAGATACTTTGAAGAATGGCATGAGGGTGTATAAATGAAGACAGAAGTTTTATTTTTGAATGAACTGTCTGTCCCTTTAGAATGAGAGTTTAAAAAGACAATTACCCAGGTTTGAGCTAATCTGAAAAGTCCTTAAAGGATAGTTAACCCAAAAATACAATTTCTCTCATCATTTACTCAACCTCTTGTGGGTTCCAAACCTAATTTGGACTAGTTTAACTAAAAACTCATGGGACTGAATCTGGGACCTTTGCCAATGATACCACCACTACCACATGTCTGACCATACTGCCCAGGAAATCCTGTTTTTAAATGTGGAACCTTTCATTTATTGCATAATAATGACAATATGATTGGGTGCTGATATAATAGACTGAATTTTAAAACATGATGATATGCTTGATGTTGAAGATGGAAGGAGTGGCACCCTGGCTTCCCTATGAGCATAGATGCCAAAGCCCATAGTGAGCTTCCACGAGACATTCAGTTTGATAGCGAGAAAGGAGTGGACTTTGTGCTCAACTACAGCAAAGCGTAAGATTCTTTTTAT